TCAGTAGTCTGTTATATTTTGATACAATATTTACATGGGTTGCAAAGAATATCCAGGTTTCTTGCACTTTTCTCAAAACCAAATAAACAAAAATCAGCAAATTTCTATTTTCTGCGGATCTTCCCCCTCTGTTAATAAACGAAATTTCTGTACAGTGATTTCTCTGAGTTGACTATTACCTCTTGCAGCCTGGGTTTTCTAACAATTCTCTGGCTTGTTTCTATTCACAGTTGCTGACAAATTGGAAAAAAGTGAAGGTATTCCAGTGGAAAAAGTGAGACTAACTGAAGGACCTGAAAATCTGAGTTCTCACAGTGAGATTTTGGATTGGGACTTATACCAATACTATACATTTTTGGCAGAAAGAGGAGATGTTCAGATACAAGTAATGTATACACATGAGATTGAGTTTTAGAACATGCAAATTATAAGGGGCTTGGTTTTCTCTGAGTCCTAGAGGAACTAACAATGCCCCCCACTGAATAGGGAAGGGAAGAGACACCCCCTTCTCTTTGCCCTACGTCTGTTTTGTTCCCTGCCACTTGCAGAGCTTGTGGCCTACTGTACTGGAAAACAAGCTGCCATAATAATAGCAATAGTTTTTTGCATTTCTTCCTAAAATATTAATTTTTTTAAAAACCTAGATTTTAATTATAGAAAAAAGCACCATCTGATGAACTTCTACAAGAATCCAGGATGGGACAAGGATCCAGAATGTCTTTAGGAATGGGACAGCATTTATGTGACCTTTAAGAGCCAAGAGTTGAAGTCCCTAGGCTTGTGTGTTTGCGTGTGGCTGTATAATAGCAGGCTGGCTTCCTGCCACTGAGGAAGCCATATGCCCAACAGCAACCAATAACCCATTAAATGATATAGTCTGGAACTTTTCCCTGCTTCTTTCAAGACAAAAAACTGAATCAACATGTATAGTAAAATCACCAAGTCAATGTTTCCTTTTCTTCATTTAAATTAATACTGCTGCTAAAATCATTTTCAAAATTTATCTTTCCTAGGTGTCTCTTGGACAATTACATCTAAATGGAAGAAAAGGCCTAGATAAGGATTACTATGTAAGTCAATCTCAAGATTTAGTCATATGGGGTGGGGAGGATAGTGGTGAGGCAGGCTGGTGGCTTAGTGAAAAGGGAGAGAGGGAGAGGTAGGAAAGACTACTGCTGTTTCCTTGGTTAGACTTGTTTCCAGCTTCTTAGGAAGAACAAAGTTCACCAGAGGGAGCCTTTTCCTACCTGCCTTACCTGCCTTCAAGTACAGAGGGATAGGGGCTTCTGAGGAGCAGTTGGGGCACGGTGGTATTCATGTTACAACAGAACCTAGCCTTTTCACACCCACAGGAGCTGCTGGGCTGGGCTGAGGAGAGGAGGATATGATTGCTGGGCTTGCAAATTTCTCTTCCTCAGAGGCCAGCTTCAGAAAGCCCACTTGTGAGTTTCCTGCTAAGGAGCCTGAGGGCCAACTTCATTCCCATTTGACTAGATCAGAGGACAGACTGCTTTTAATATAATTAATAATATGTTAAATATCTTTATAAATCTGCAAACCTCCTTTCAGTCATTTTGCTTACTTTATCCCAGTGAGTTTAGAAGAATTAGTAACAATTTAAATTTATAGTGGAGAAAAAAGCAAATAAACTTGACCTACACAGGATCTTCCTCAGTAAGATGCCAGATGAGTTCTTTTTTTTTTGTTGTTGTTGTTGTTGTTGTTTTTCCTTTTTTTGTCTTTTTACGTGACCAGCAATGGATCGCAACCCTCAGTGTTGCGCCCGTACCGGACCTGGACCAGCAACGGGATCGCAACCCTCGGTGCTGCGCCCGCACCTCACTCAGCCAGTGAGCAGCCGGTCTGTATGTGGGATCCGAACCCTCGGCGGGAGCGCCGCCGCACTCCCGAGCGGCACACTGTAGCAGCGCGCCACCAGGCCGGCCCCTTTTTTTTTGTTTTTTAATTATTTATTTTTTATTTTTGGCCACAAAACAAGTCTTGATACATTTTAAAAGACTAAGATCATACAAAATATGTTCTCTGACCATAATAATAGAAGGAAATTTAGAAAATTCACAAATGTGTGGAAATTAAACAATGCTCTCTTAAATAAACAATGGGTAAAAAGAAATATTACAGGGAAATTAGAGAAAACCTTGAGATAAAAATCAAAGTGCAACACATTAAAATTTATAAGCTGTAGGGCTGATGCAGTGCTTAGAGGAAAATTTATTCGTGTAAACACCTATATTAAAATGCTGCATTCTTTTTTAAGATATTAATCTCTTTCTAAATTTCCTCCTTCATATCCTGGATTTTTTTCTTATTTCATTGTGTTGTCTAACCGAGAGTTCTCCTATCTCAGTGACTTTCCTTAAGATTGTTGCTCAGAATTCCTTTAAAGTCATTTCAAGGGTTTCTTGCACTATAGGGTCTGATATTTGAGAATTACTGTATTCTTTTGGTGCTATCATATTTTCTTGGGTTTTCGTATTTCTAGTATCTACCTTGATGTCTGATCATCTGGTAGAGCAGTTGCTTCTTCTATTACTGTGGACTGGTGACTCTCCTTGTGTCAGTGTAGTTGAGTGTCTGGCTGGCTGCCTGAATAGTAGTTGTGGCTACTGCTGTGGCATCAAGCCACTTTTGTGGCAGCTGTGCCTGTGGCGGCGGCTGTGGTAGGTCACCCACATGGAAGTGGTGTTTTCAATGTGCTCCTTGGGATGCTACCCTCAGCTCCTGCCTTAGGACCCCAGGTGTGCTCTCTTGCCTGCTTCCAGGTTGAAGGGACTTTTCTTGGTTCCTGCCCAAGGACCCTGAGCATGCTCTGTTTCTTGCCTGCATCCGGGCAGAGGGCTTATGAATCTTAGCTTAGTCTGCATAACACAGTACTTCCAAATGTAGGTGGCTTAAAACAACAACCATTTATTTAATGCATGACTTTGGCAGGTCAGCAATTTTGGCTAGAATCAGCTGAGAAATTCTGGTCTGAGCCAGGCTCAGTGAATCTTAGCTGGTCTTGTTCATGCCTCTACAGTTAGCTGGAGTATTGGCCAGAGCTGGCTGGCTTATGATGGCTTCATCTGTGATAGCTAGAATGACTGGGGCCTCTCTCCACGTGGTTTCATCCTCCAGCCAACTGGCCCAAGCTCTTCACACAGCAGTCAAAGGTCCTAAGAACAAAAGAGCAGAATTCTCTTGAGGCCTAGGTTCAGAACTCACAAATCACTTCTGCCACATTCTTTTGGCCAAAGCAAGTCACAAGGCTGGTAAGACTGAGAGGGTAGGGAAATAAACTTCTCCTCTCAATGGGCAGAGTTGAGTTGCACCAGAATCAGCTCGGAGTGGCAGGGGAGATATACTAGGGAAACAGAAGATAAAAGGATAAACCCGATTTCTGAAAGCCTTTTACTGCAGCTCTCCCCACTTCTGGCTTCTCATCCTTCAAGTCTCACCTTCTCAGAGAGGATTTTCTTGATCAACTCTACTGTTCCGTCACTTATCCTATCACGTTGGGTTTATTTTCCTCACACCCCATATAATTCCCTGCATTATGTTGATCTTTACTTGTTTATTGTCTCCCCACAACGGAATGTAAGTTCTTGTCTGTCCTGCTCACCACTGTGTACCCAGAGTAGTGCCTGGTACACATGAGTTACTCGGTAAATATTTATTGAATGAATGAATGAGTGCTGGCATCCTAAACATTTTGAGTCGCTCCTCAGCCTGGAAACCACCACATGAGCCAGTATGCTAATGTCTCAGTCCACCCGAGGAAATTATTAGTATAAGAATCTTTTAAAATATGATGCCCCAGTTTACTGCCCAGCAAATTAAATATCAAAATAACTGGAAATAACTAGCTTGCTTGCCTTTCTTTTTCTCCTCTCTGTTTGGTTGAATTAATTGCTCTCATGTGTTGTCTTCACAGGCAACATTTTCACCCTCCCCCTGACCAAATTCTCAATTATTGAAAAGTACTATATATGCAGTTCTTGATTGCATTATCCTGAATTTTATACACATAAGTTTTATTATAATTTGCATTTCTAAATATATACAGGCTCAGAATCAATTGGATTAGGAAAGTGGGGTGTTTGGGTGCATATTAAAGTGGATAAAACATAATTAAATTAAACCTGGCAGCAGAATAATTTCAAATATGTAAATTAAACCACTTTGTCTATCCCGCCAGCATTTAAAAAGAAAAGAGCTAATATCATTCCTTTTCAGGATGATTTACAAAGCCTGGGATAAAAGAAGTGTCCATAAGTGTTTTTAGAACAACACTTTTTCTTGGCATTTCATTCTAGTGGAGATGTTACAAATTGATTAAACTCAGGATTTTCTTAGAGCCAATGAAAAATCATGCTCATTAAAAAAAAGAGAGAGAGGTTTAAATTATAAAACTTCACTTAGTATAATGCCTGGGACATACATTTTATCCTAAGCCACCATCATGTGTAAGACACATCATTATTTTGTGTTCTACTGAGAAAGAAAAAACTAATAATATAAATTATAATATGCCATTGAGAATAAAAAATGGCCTAATTAGGGGCCGGCCCGGTGGCGCACTGCTACAGTGCGCCGCTTGGGAGTGCGGTGGCGCTCCCGCCGAGGATTTGGATCCCACATACAGACCGGTTCCGCTCACTGGCTGAGCGAGGGGCGGGTGTAGCACCGAGGGTTGCGATCCCGTTGCCGGTCCCCGGTCCGGTATGGGCGCGACACTGAGGGTTGCGATCCGTTGCCAGACACGAAAAAAGACAAAAAGGAAAAAAAAATGGCCTAATTAAAATGTATGGGTGGAGATATACATCTTAGAATCAGTGAAATATGATAATAGATGCTCAGTAAATATCTGAATGATGGATGGATGGATTGATGGATACTTGATGTTGATTCTGAGCAAGAACTCAGAGTGGCTCACGTATATCCATCAAAGTAGCTTGTCTGGTACTGTCACACAGTGTATAACAAATGTTTATACAATTAAAGCAATAGCATTATGGGCAGGTAAATTTAAAACGAAAGAAGGGAGAATTGAAATGCCAAGTCAGCCGTGACAGTGGGGCAGTGTGAAAGAGAGAGCCTCAATGCCTTTTAGTCTTTATGGGTTCATTATGCGGAAGGGTGGGGAAAATTTCAGTTTTATTTACTTCTGGGGAATAGATTATTTCCTTTTGAAAGCTCAGATCTAGTCTCCCAGAAGGAAACTTTTTTTCAGAACTCTCAATGGCAAGATATTTGAGAGCCAAATTACTAGGCTTGACTTTGAAAATAACTTCCTAGAATTACAATACTATAGCTGGAAGGACCCATAAAAATTAAAGTCCAGCCCCCTTGTTTTAGAAATTCGTAAACATTCATTCATTCATTCATTCCTGAAATATTTCCTGAGTGACTAACACATGGCAGACGATATGGAAAGTAGAGAGGATTCAACTATGAAGGAGACAAAATAAGCAATTTTATAAGCAAATTTTATAAGCACAACGAGACAATTAGATCCATGAATGAATGCCACAAAAGGAACATTAGAGGGTGCCCTGAGCGCACAGAGGAGGATAATCTGAATGAGGAAACCAAGGCCAGGAGATAATGTGATTTGTGTAAGTTATACAGTTACCTAGGGACATATTTCATAGAGGTAGTCATAAGAAATACCTTTATATACTCTCTAATTTGGTAAATTATATATTGCTATAATTTTCTCCTGTTCAACTGACACTAAGATTATTCCAGACATTTGATCTTCAAGATTTCCTAATGCTCACAAATCTCCAATGGCATCTATTTTCTAAAAAATAAAATAAACCAAATAAAATGAAAATCCTTAGCCCGGTATTCAAGACTGTTTATAATATAGCCCCTTCTTATTTTTGCAAGTCTTACGTTTTAGATATTCTATTTCAGCCATACTGAAGTGATTAGTATTTCTTGAACACACTTTGGACATTCCCGTCTCCCATCCCCTTGCTCGTGTAATTCCCCGAGCCTCTGTACTGTAGGTGACTCATCTCCATCTCTAGTGGAGCTGCTATCATTTTAGCCCTCCTGTATATATCACGGAGGCAGAGTGCCAAGCACATGGGAATTAGATTCAGGCTGCTTACGGGACTCTAGTATTAGTTACATGACTCTGAGTATCACTAAATAGGATCGGTTATTAATAATACCTTCCTTATGGTGGTATTGTGAAGATTAAGTAAGAAAAGGGTTGGAAAACACTTATTAGAGACCTGGATACAATTTCTCTTTTTCTGTATCCTTCCGATTCTTTTTGGTGTTCCTTTTATCTCACCTAGCACCTACTATCTTATTTCTATTTACGTATATTCCTTTATTCTCAGCAACATTATTAGGGAGCAGATGTAGGGACTGTTATTTTGTTCATCTATGAATCACCAGTGATACCTAACATACTACCATACATACAGCACGTTTCAATCAAATTTTCGAAGGGATAAACAAATATTAGAAGAGATGGGAAGATGTGATGAGGTGCAGCATTGGTGGCTTTTGCACTTATGTCCACAAGGCAGACCAACTTCAATAACAAGGGCATGGATCTCAAATGAGTTGGCAATATTGCTAGAGCAAATTTTCATAGAAGTAACTACCGCATTTCTTCCTGAAACATGTTCTTCTCTTTGGGACAAGGCAGATCCTTGCACATCAATCTACTCAAGACTTTTTAAAGAGCGGACGAGTTGTGTCCTAGTAAGACATTTTGAAGAGGGTCTTTGTGTCTCATTCCTGAGACTGATTTCTTTTATTACTCTATGTGGTTCCTGAGGAAACTTTCTAGAAGGTCAAGATGAGGCTTAGGGAATGTGGCAGCAAGGCAACAAGGTCAGCCCTAATGTGTTCTAGACTGAGCGCTTCATTTAGTGTTGTGACTTAGACAAAATCAGAGGCTTTGCTGGCCCCCTTCAATCTGATTTAGAAGGAATTATCTTGAAGCTCACCTCTGCAGAAAGACCTGGTCTCAGCAGGCATTCAGTTGTGTCCGGTCTTACTCTGCCTTATGAGCATTAGGGTGCTGCATATCCAATTCTGCCAACTGTAGTACAAACTCTCTTATAAAATAAGCACAGAGTGTTGACATAAAAGCTTACTTTTTCAAAATAATGGGCTATTTAGCTCTATCACTGGGAGTCATCTCTCCCTACAAAGCCACACGCCCACCATGCCTTTCCAAATGTGAGAAATAAGTCCTCACTGTTTAAAATTACATATGTGAGATATATATATTCTCCCACTCTTCGGGTTTATGGTTACAGTAGCACTTGGAATAGTGCCTGAACAAAGTGGGCATTGCAGAGATATTTTTTGAATGCATATCAAATAAAATAAAGTTTGGTTCAAAAAGCCATTTTTGAGGATTTATTTGTAACTGGCAATAATACTGTTTCTTTTCTCTCCAGAAAGCATTATACTACTTCTTAAAGGCAGCAAAGGCTGGGAGTGCAAATGCCATGGCATTTATAGGAAAGGTACATGCTTCATCTTGATCAATAGTTTTCATTGCTTGAAAAAATAAGAAATTAATGGTACCAGCTAATTGAACCCAGTGTACGGTGACAGGACTGCAGACCTCTTTCATGGAAGCAGCTGAGGGAGACATCCAGCTGCAACCCGAGAGTTACAACCTGAGGTTGCATATGATTTCTGCTCCCCTCTCCTCTGCCCCCCCCTCCTCCACCCCAGACACGTAGCAGGTGAGCCATTCGGGCTAGTTGTGCAGGCCTCAACCCAATCAGGTGCCTCTTTCCTTCACCCCTGGAATGAGAACTAGCTCCAGGCTGACCAAAGTCTGTCCTTATGCCACCTCTGGTGGGAGGTCCCCTATGACGGCTGAGAAAGCTTTGTGGAGGGTTCCTCTGGAAAGGCATGTTCTTCTCTGTCCTTCAAAGACCACACACTCCCCGAGTGCTGCCCTTAGCTCCCTTCAGCCAATTTGCATCAGTAACCATGGGGACAGAGTGCCCTGCTTCCAGAAGTGCTACATACAGTAAATTTAGATGCAAGAAACATAAGAAAACACAAATAGGATCCATTTCTTTGCCCTCAGAAAGGTCACTCCAGAATGTATGTAGTAGATTGTATACTTAGTTTCTGTTTTTCTTTAAATTGAGATAAAATTTGAATAACATAAAATTAACCATTTAAAGCATACCATTCAGTGGCATTTACTACATTCACAATGTCGTGCAACCATTACCTCTATTTTGTTTTAAAACATATGCATCATCTTCCAATTCCTTTGTTTTTTACAGTTTCTTTTCATTTTTTTCCCTAGATGTATTTAGAAGGGAATGCAGCTGTACCACAAAATAATGCTACTGCCTTCAAATACTTTTCTATGGCAGCCAGTAAGGTATGTCCTCAACCCATTGCTATAAGCACATAAAAATAATCGGCTTTTATTATATGTAGACTGGTGCTAAAGAGTTGACTTCAAAGTTCCATGCCCAGATAATGGGCCTGGAAGGAGTTTTGTGGCCTGGACACAATCTCTTTGACAATAAAATATGGGGTTGGGGTGGGGGGAGATACGACTTGTCTTCTAGGTAAATGAAAAATGGCAGTGACTTGTGCTGCCTATGTCCCTAACAGGGACATAGTGCCTGTGTCCCCTAACAGGGGACAGCAGGGGGCCAGACAGAAGCTCAACTTTCCCCTCCGATGGCAGTAGATGAGGACATCTAATTTAAGAACAGGAAATAAAAGAGATGAGGACAGAGGAAGGGAGAACTCAATCAATAACTGTAAGTGCAGGACAAGTTTTTACCAGTTGGATCCTACCAAAGGCCAGAGCTCCCCATGGCCCAGGTAGGAGGTTGTCAGGCAGGTGGCCAGGGCAAGGTGATTGAGAACGTAGTTCTGAAGACAGAACCCCCAGCTTGAATGCCAGCCTTGCAACTTACTAGCTGTGTGACTGTGGGCAAATTACTTAACCTCTCTGTGCCTCAATTTTCCTGTCTGTAAAATGGAAAAATAAGAAGTAGATTTGCCTGATATTGTTGTTGTCAAGATTAAGGGAGTTAATATATATGTGCCTCATATTGTTACGTACTTAAAGCAGTGCCTGGCACATAGTAAGTGCTGAGTGTCAGCTATTATCTTTTGTAGTCTGGGGCCAGTTAGGGAGAGTGATCTTCGAAGCATATGCAAGGCAGAATGGATTGGATCTGTGAGGAAATATAGAAATAGTATAATATCACTCCTGCTGTCAAAGCCTGCCTTTGTTCCCAGGCTCAGTGAGGCTGGTATCTGTCAGATAAAACTTAACAGACTACTCTCAACCCTTTTATTTTTTATTTTTATTTTTTTTCCTTTTTGTCTCTTTTTTTGTGACCGGCAACGGATCGCAACCCTCAGTGTCGCGCCCGTACCGGACCGGGACCGGCCACGGGATCACAACCCTCGGTGTCGCTCCCGCACCTCGCTCAGCCAGTGAGCAGGAACCGGTCTGTATGTGGGATCCGAACCCTTGGCGGGAGCGCCACCGCCCTTCCCAAGCGGCGCACTGTAGCAGTGCGCCACCGGGCCGGCCCCTCTCAACCCTTTTAATGCATAAAGAATCTCCTCATCCCAACACCCATCAGCCTAATGTTGGTGAATGGCGTTGATAACTTTCTTTTTTTTTTTTCTTTTTTTTTAAAAAGATGACCAGTAAGGGGATCTTAACCCTTGACTTGGTGTTGTTAGCACCACACTCTCCCAAGTGAGCCACGGGCTGGCCCTTTTGATAAACTTTCTATCCCTGCACAGTAGGAAATATTTTGTTGTCTTACAGTCTCATTCTGAAACACTGGCAGTAAAGATGTGCTCAAGTCCGGGGCTATATTTAACTGTTCTCAGTTTTTAAAAGCCTACATGCTGCTTTAGGAGCCTATTTATAAATGACTAGCACCTCATAGCTGCTGCTATTGTGTTGTAAATTACTGAGAAGGCTAGTACTAGGTTCCTCTCCCTTGTAATTTATATGAAATTGTTGCTCAGTGAGACAGTTATCTGGAGTACCATTAGATTAGGATGACAAGGATGAGCACACTGAAAAAAGAGATTAGGGTAAGAGGAAAATCTCTTAGAATCTGGCAAATAACACTGATTTGTCAGCTCAAAGGAATAAGGCCAGGAAGTTGGGTGTACAAATTAACACAGCTCCCAAGCTATTCAGGACAGTGTAACCAGCAGTGATCTGGGCTACTCACGTTCTAAACCTGAGCTACCTTCCTTTACAAAGGAAATCTGAAAATTGTATTTAAAGTAATTATTCTGAATGGCCTTAGGTAGACACGGTCACATAATCCTTGATCATTGCCTGGATAATTTGTCAGATTCTCACCCATATTCTTACTACTTTTTTTTTTTTAAACCTACTGCTTTTAAAATTTGTTTTTAAGTTATATAAGTACCAGGATACAGAGCTATAGATTTTATAACCTCTTTTGTCTTAATTACTTAGAAACAAGGACAGTTACCCTTTGTTACATTGAGCCCATATTGGACCATATTCCTCTGGATCTCTTTCTCACACCTCTGAACACATCGGGCCCATCCCCATCTCCATACTTTTGTCACACCCCCTCCCTTCCTGCAGTCCCCCCTGCTAAGTCCTACTCATCCCCCAGAGCAGAGCTCAATCCTCTCTCTCTCCACAAAGCTGTCCCTTCCCCGCTTGGTTCATATAATCTCTTCCCCTTTCTGAGCTTGCCCTGCAATCACTCTCTATTGCTGGGAATTTTCTCCTACTGCCTGAAGGCCATGTCTCCTCAGCTGTAGGAGGGCAAGGGCTCTAGTCCACAGCAGGGGTTCATTAAATATTTGTCGCATAAATGACCATCTGTTCCCTACGTTTATGTCAGTTAACCAAAGTGATTGGTTACACATATATTTTGTTTGGCCCAGAGGTGTTTTTTTTTTTTTGTCTTTTGTCTTTTTCCGTGTCCAGCAATGGATCGCAACCCTCAGTGTTGCCCCCGTAC